TTTTTTTTTTTTTTGAGATGGAACCCCACTCTGTTGCCCAAGCTGGAGTGCAGTGGCGCGATCTTGGCTTACTCCAGTCTCCGCCTCCCAGGTTCAAACAATTCTTCTGTCCCAGCCTCCCGAATTGCTGGGAGTACAGGTGCATACCACCACACATGGCTAATTTTTTTTTATTTTTAGTAGAGACGAGGTTTCACCATATTGCTCAGGCTGGTCTCCAACTCCTGACCTCAGGTGATCCACCTGCCTCGGTCTCCCAAAGTGCTGGGATTACAGGCGTGAGCCACCACGCATGGCCTTTTTTTTTCTTTTATTTGTAGTTGACACATAATAATTTTACATGTTGATGGGATACATGCTGATATTTCAATAGAGGTATACGGAGTGATCAAATTAGGGTAATTAGCATAGCATCACCTTGAACGTTTTTCATTTCTTTGTGCTGTGAACATTCAGAATCCTTTCTACTAGCTTTTTGAACATACACTAAATTATTGTTGACCTTCTTCAGTCTACATTGCTGCAGAACACTGGACTTTATTCTTATCTAGCTGTAGCTTTGTATCAAAGTGCACTGGTAGATGAAGGGCTTCGCCTGTGGCTGAGTGAAGGGGCTGTGGGCCCTACCAAGCCTGAACTAGAGGGAAAGGCCCCGGAGCCTGTTTTGTAGTGAACATAATCACGCTCCATGTGCAGTGAAATCCTTTCTTCCTGCTCCCCAGGTGCTTTTAAATATTTTCATTGCTTCTCTCTTTGCTCTTTGGAAAGAGCGATTCTGAATTTACTTTATTTAAATTTGGGGGAATTGATGAGAATCATGTTTTACACGTGATTTCTCAGGGTGTCCATGCCCCGGAAATGGTGGTGAATCTTCATGCTTCAGCGGATCTTTGCCTGTGCACGAGAGCGAGCCTTCCAGTGCCCTGTTCTTCTGTTCTTCTTCCCTCTTTTGATGCCCTGATCTCACCGTGTGGTCCTTTGGAAGAAAGATGCCTTCCCCTCATGAGGCCTGAGTGTTCTTTAGGATGCTCACTGGTGCGGAAGTGCCTGTGAGGCCCATGAAGCAGCTGCAGAACCCCCACACTCTAGGTTATTCCAGTGATGGCAGTTTTCACTGGGCTGACTTATTGCAGAAAGAGCTGTGCAACTTGCAATTTGCTGCCTGCACTAATTCCTTCAAAGAACAAGAATCTTCCAAATGATTAACTTACATCTTTCACTCGACTGATCATGGTAGACGCTTCTGTTCTTCCTCTTTTAATGTTCGTTTAATGTATAATTTTAGAAGGCATTCTTACGGCTAGTGTCTTAAAAGTATTTTGGTCAAGTCGTTTCCCAGCCTTAAAGCTTTGCCGTATGCCCTGGAACAAAGATGTATGTGTGCTGAGACGTGGCTTATGGTTGCTGTGAGCAAGGAAACCGGCATAAGCAGACATGAATCGAGTCGGAGCCTACCTTTCATCTCAGAGGTGGTGCAGCTGTTTGGTGGAACCATTTGGACTTTTTACTATGATTTCTTGATTTTTTTTTTTTTTACATGAATTTACTATAAAAATTGGTGATTTATACAGAAAGAAATATATGTGGTGCATACATTAAAATTTTGGGTTATTTTGGCAACTTGATATTTCCCAAAGCTGTCTTATTGTCCCAAGGTTAAAATTAGCAATGTGTATGGTACATTTACTACTGAATTCAGTGGCATTTTAGAAAAACAGACGTGCGTAGTGTAAGAATAGATTAAAAATTACAGGAAGTTTTGAGCCCAGCAGTAATTTTAGATTGCTGAATATATTCTTACATTATTAAATTTGATTGGGCTTGATTTGTGTCTGCCTCCCTCCCTTGAAGTCAGATTACTTAGTGACTAGGGACTGGGAAGACCTTGCTTCAGTGGGTGTTTTATTATAAGACACAAGCAAATTGAGTGACGTGTGTGCATCGATGCAAACCTTACATCTGCAAGACAGATGCGTTTTATTAGATATGTCGCCTCCCTTCTGCTAATTTGGATCATATTATTTCACAATAGGTGCTTTCTCGATGACGTTGGAAATTTAAAGATCCCCATCGTGGGAGCCTGGCTTTTGTGTTGTTTTAACTCTTGCAGTTTTGCTGTGTCTAAATGGAAGGAAATAACCTTGTGAACCATCTTACATAGACAAAGTATGTTTTCAGACTGTGACATTTAAAGGTTAAAAATTGTTTCCCCAAGCATGGCCCATGTTGGTACCAAAGGGTTGGTGCCTTCCCAGTTCAAGTGATTCTCCTGCCTCGTCCTCCCAGTAGCTGGGATTACAGGCACCCACCACCATGCCCGGCTCATTTTTTTGAATTTTTAGTAAAGAAGGGCCCCATCCCCTTCTTGGTACCAAACCCGCCACAGGTATCCACTTTGCAGATTAGAGTCAGCCACGGGATTTGACAAGTCAGTGAAGGGGGAGGGCAGGAGGAACTTCAGATGTCATTTACTGCAGGATAAGCGTGGTCTCCAGCTAGAATTTCAACAGGACTGTTGTCATTGATTTAGTGACAACATTTTTCCAAGGTCATTTAAGTGAGAAAACACAAATGGAGGATGCTTAGGCAAGTTTTTATGTTAAATCAAATGTCCAAGAAGCTCCAGTGAGTGTGTGGACGCTGCCTCCCTTTACTCCCCTGCCCAGCGGCCACCTCTCGTTACCCCCGCTCCCCAGGCGCCTGCATGCCCAGATGTTTCAGTGCCACCTCACCGTCCCTCAGTTAATGGCCCTCAGCCTCGGGGCTGCAGCCAAATGCTTTTTGAAAACATACTGCCATGGCCAAATAACATGAAATTCCCCATTTCTAAGTGTCCCGTTCAATGGCATTAAGTACAGTCACATTGTTGTGCAACCATCGTCACCATCCTCCTTTAGAATTTTTTCATCTTTCCAAACTGAATGAAACTCCAGCCCTGTCAAACACCAACTCCCCTCAGTCCCTGGCAGCCACTGTCCTACTTTCTGGGTCTAAGAATTTAATGGCTCTGGGAACCTCGTGGAAGTGGACTCATACCGCATTTGTCCTTTTGTGTCTGCCTTCTTTTTTTGTTTGTTTGTTTTGTTTTGTTTTGAGACAGAGACTGGCTCAGTCGCCCAGGCTGGAGTGAAACGGCGTGGTCTTGGCTCACAGCAACCTCCACCTTCCCGGTTCAAGTGATTCTCCTGCCTCCCAGCAGCTGGGATTACGGGGACCCACCACCATGCCTGGCTAATTTTTTTGTATTTTTAGTAGAGACGGGGTTTCGCCATGTTGGCCAGGCTGGTCTTGATCTCCTGACCTCGTGATCTACCCATCTCGGCCTCCCAAAGTGCTGGGATTACAGGCATGAGCCACTATGTCCAGCCATGTTTGGCTTCTTTTACGTGGCATAATGTCTGCAAGGTTCTACCAGGTCGTAGCATGTGTCAGAATCTTCTTCCTTTTTAAGGTTGTCATGTTGCTGTGTATCTTGTCCACGTTTTGCCCGTGCACTCGTCCCTGGATAGAGGCTCGGCCTGTTCCCCCCTAATGGTGGTGGTGGTTCATGCTGCTGGGAACTTGGGTGTACAGGTGCCTCTTGAAGACCCTGCTGCCAGTGCTCCAGAAGTGGAATTGCTGTTTCCCGTGGTAATTATGCTTGAATTTTTCAAAGAATCATCCTGTTTTCCCCAGCACCCCACCATTCTACTGAAACCTCATTTGAAATTCCATATTGACTTTCCCTTAGCAGCTCCTTCTGCAGCTCCTCGAGCTCCAGCCCGCACACCACCTACCTTGAGTGAATGATGCCGCTCTGACCGCGGCACTGAAAAGACCTGGGGTCGGAGGTGGAGGTTGCAATGAGCCGAGATCGCGCCATTGCACTCCAGCCTGGGCAACAAGAGCAAAACTCAGTCTCAAAAAAAAAAAAAAAAAAGAAATAGAAAAGGAAAAAGAAAAGCCTTGGGGTCTCGGCATCACCTCTTTCTGTCTGTTTCCCTCTGAAGAGGAGAGGCCTCCCCCTCCCTGAGACCCGCTCCACCCCTTGCTGTTTCCTCACCATCTCAGATCTCCTGTCTTCACCTTGGGCTGCCTCTTCACCAGGCCCAGATGTTCTGGAAATTCAATCCCTGCCTTCTGGATTCTTCTTTGCCCTTGGCGTCTCTCTCTCCCACCTGACAAGAGGGTCCTTGGCCCCATTGCCTCTGCCCTCCGGTCCTGTTCTCTGTTCTGCCCCAAGTGATTGTGGCTGCTGCTCCTCCCGGGTGCCCCCACAGCCCCCAGCTGCGGTGTCTCCAGACAGCCTCGGAATTCCCTTCTGCTGTCTTCTCTTCTCTGTGCTACTGTGGCGGTGGTTTCTTGAACCGCTGGGCTTGGTAGGTCCCCAGTTCTTCTTCCTGAAATTAGGGCGGAAAAGTCTTGGAACCATTTCCCGCACCCTGGTGCTGGACCTGCCCCTTTTTTCCTCGGCTTCTCTTTTGGT